TCAGTGATGCTCTCGTGTCAGTGGTCTGCAGGCACCAGCCAGAACCCAGCTCAAGCCATTCACGTGTGAGCATTGCTTGGAGCAGTGGGTTTATTTTTAGACCTTCAAGCACTTGCTCCATCCCCCACAAAACCATCTGCTGGTCAACCCCCCCCCCAACCCCCCCCCCCCCCAGAGTTTTCCATTTTCTGACCACAAACTGGGATGTTTTTCATACTCATCTTCTGCCTTCATGCCCTTTCCCCATTCTCCCACAAGCGTTTTGGGCTGGGTCTGATCCTTCCCTTGGCTTCGTGCTTCAGTCCGGGCAGAGCACTGGGGTGCTGGGAGGGGACTTGTTCTGACACAACCCACGGATGCTCCCAAGGGTGCTCAAGCCCCTTTGTGGGGTATCAGATGCTCACCTGTCTTAAGATGAAAACTGGAGCTTAATTACGTTGTGTTACTAATTAGCAGTGGACATGATGGCTCTCCTGGTTGAAACTCCGCTTGAGAAACGTGCTTGATGAGGACTGTCTCAGCTGATCTCTTTGTAAATGTGGGTCCTAACAGGAAGAGAAGGGTTGAAAAGCAAATTTAGGTGTCCTGAGACTAAAGAACACGTGCTTCGCATGTACAGAGCGGCTTTCCAAGGGCCGTGCCTACAAAATCTCCCCCACCTCAAACCTGCTCTCCCAGAGTTTGGGGTTAGCCACAGGCTACTGTCTCCTTCCCAGCATTGTTCCCTGTTGAGTACCTGGTTTGCCAGCACACAGCACATCTGTCTGTCTGGGCTTTACCTGGTTTAATCTCACAGGTTTAATCCAGTGCAGGATTTCATCCCAGTGGATGGGGATGTAGCAAAGGCAGGGCTTGAAGCACACACAGCAGATGAGCACCAGATTTCCAGCTCTTGTTGGATTTTATTTTGCAACTGGGTCCAAACCACGAAACAACTGCATGGAAAAGTTCATCTCAGGTTTGCTGAGAGAGCTAATAATTTCACAGGGGGACACAGCATTTGGGAGAGGCCCAGGAGAAGATATTGAGATGTTCGTTCTTTGAGCCCAGGGCTTTGCTGGTACTTGGGTTTAGCTACGTGTGGCTTGTTCATTGCCAGCCCTGCTGTGACTGACACTTTGCAATTATCTCTGATCTTTTGAGATTTAATGAGACCTCTGAGGTTTTACATTAATATACCTGAAGAGGTCCAACAAGAGAGGTTCTGCAACGGTGGAGGGAAGAGAAGGAAGAGGTGGTGTCCCCCAGGTTGTTTTCTGGAGCTGTGAGCCCAGAGCTCTTGGCCCAAACTCCAGCTATAACATGTGGAATGGAAAAAAGTCCAGTTATTTTCCTTAGGTTTTTGTAACAACTCAGGACCAACACTGGTGTTTTGCTGAAATACATGAGCGATGTGGGGGTTTTTCAGCTACCTAAACTCTGGTAGGTGTTTGCTGGGACATTCCAGGACATCAGTCCCAGGGCAGTCAAGAGAATCTGGGATGCCTGGAAAAGCCTTCTCTCCAATCACTTCCTCACCACTGCTCTCCAGATGTTCCCTGTGAGGAGGCAACTTAAGGTTCCTTGAGGTTATGTCTTTTGGCAGGCAATCAGTGCTCCTCTTGGCAGTGAAGGGCATCCATCACTGTAAGTTGTTGAGCAAGATGAACGCCATGTCAGATGGTGCCTCCTTGCAGCGGAAGACATCTTTGCACGCAGAAGGCAGTGCGCACACATGTTGCAAGGATGGATTGTGGTGGTGTCACTTGTATGATGCACACGCTGAGAAGACATGGGAAGATGGACAGGACCCCCTGCTCTGTATCTAGGTGGCACCTAAACGCCAAACAGGGCTTTGGGGATACTGCATGGCTCCACTGGAATGTTCCCAGAGAACCACTGCATTCCTGCAGCTCCCGATGCCATTTTTCCAAAGGAAGTGCTGAGGGCACATGAAAAGGTTGCTCTGGGAGGCAGCTCAGCCCTGGTATAGTCAGGTTTTGGAGCTCAGTTATTCAGCAGCTCCTTACGGCCTTCACAAATGAATGCTGCTAAGTACAGGGACGTGACTGCTCCAGACCTCAGTTATTTACAGCTCACTGCAGCTGACTTACACCATCTCCGTCAGCAGGGCTGAGGGGGGAAGGAAAACCTTCTGGAATGAGACCCAGGAGATAGATACAAAAATCTCCCCCTGCTTTCCCCCACCCCTGTTATTACAAACCCGGAGCCCATCCCAGCCTGCTGTGTTGATGAATGTGGGTTTGGGGAAAGTCCAGGAGCCAGCATGGAATATCTGTGTGTTTAGTGGGGACTGTGTGAAGATGTGGCAGGAGTTTCTCCTCTCTTTGACCTTAAAATGTGCATTTAAATCTAAAACCAGTTCTCCCTGGCCAGCTGAAAACAAGAACTGTACTCACTGTGCCCACCTTGGTCCTCGCAGTGTTTAAAGCTCTGTGGAGCCTTGCTCTTGGATGCTCTTTCCTTCTAATGTATAAAACAAAAGAGTCCTTCACAGTATTAAAAGTCTAATGTCCTTGTGAAATGTCTTGGTCACTGGCTGATGGATCTGGTTTCTTCAGAGAAGAGGGTTTGCAGACAGACCCCATGTGTAGGTATGGGAAAGACATCTTCCAGGAGCACGCTCTCTCCACTGCTCCATGGGGTTACCAAGCCAAGCCTTGGCTGTCACCATCTGAAGAAGGCAAGTCCTCATATGGGGAAACCAGAGCTCCTGGAGAACATTTCCCATGGGGGAAAGAGACAGTGATGGGCCTTGGAAGGACCTTCAGAGCTGAGACAAGAGTCAGGAACAAGTTGCATGCTTGGGGATGACAAAGCTCATGTGCTGGTTCTCTCCTGGCTGCTTACACCTGCACATCCAACCCAGCAGGGTCTTTTGAGTTTGCTGGAATGACAAGTGCTTAATGCTCGTTGGGGTTTTCTTTTCACTTGGGTTGGGTTGGGTTTTGGGTTGTTTTTTTTTCCTGTTCTTGTTATGCTGGCTACCAGATACATGTGGCTTTACAGGCATCACAGCCAGTTTGTGGTTCTCAGTTACTTCATCCCCATGATTTATTTAGTGTTTCTCCTCTCTCCAACCAAGATGGAGCTGCCTGTTAAGGTGTTTTCCTCCGGGTCTGTTCTGCAGGAGCAGCTGTGTGGTCATCAGGAAATGTTTGGGCATCTCCAAGGATAGTTGTTTTTGTGGTATACAAGTGATGACTTGTCTCTAGGCCCATCTGTGCTAATTGGGAGTGGAAGGAGAGAAACCAGGTGAAGGGGCTCATCTAGCTGGTTTGTGATCTGTTTTCCTTCACACACCCCCCCCCCCCCCCCCTTCCCTCATGCAGCTTTCTCCTGCTCCCCACTGAAAACATTTGCTGGAGGCAGTTTCTCTGCAAGCTGTTTAGCTGTGTGATGGGCATAATGTTTGAAGGGCACTTATCCTTCCAGTGCATGGTCTTCACTAAGGGGTGACCCCTTGGTGTGGCACCTGAACCTCCCTTAGATGCTGGTGTTCCCTCAGCCGTGTCACTTGATTCATCCAGATTTGAAGGGATGGGAAGAGGAGAAGAGCTTCCCAGCCATCAATTGTCCTTGAGCCTGCCTGGACTGAGGTTTGCAGCCCATCTCTCAAGTAAAATGATTGCATATTGTACCTTCCTCTTCCTCCTGCTCCTCTTCCTCCCTTAGTGCTTTGCTTCAGCATCCCAAACCTTCCCATTTCAGAGCAGGGCTTGTCTGTGGTTGGACTTGATAATCTTAAAGGTGTTTTCCAGTCTAGCTGATTCTCTGATTCTCTGGCTGAGGTCGTATTATGCAGGTGCTGTAGGGTGAGCCCCTGGATGGCATTAGTTGGGGAGAGCTTTCAATTACAATAATTTCATGTTTATTATTGCAACATTGAGGGTTTAATGCTCCTCACCTACATTTCCTTGGCTTGGTAACTCACGTTGTCTTATTTTGAGCTGGGCTGAAGTGGCTGCCATGGTGGGAGGCAGCATGGGAGTCCTGTAGCCATCCAGAAACCTCACCCAAGGGTCTGGGGACCCCTTGGCATCCAAATCCTGGAGGGGGTACGGAGTTCCTGCCCATTCCCATGGGATGCTGGTCCCTAAGCACTCCTAGAATATATATGTGGGCTGCAGAGGGCCTGCTCAAGGAGGTCATCCCTGGGGCAGGATGATGTCCTATGGCTTTCATATGCAGACTTCTAAATAAATAGCTAAATTCTGTTTTGGTGAAAAATAAGATAAAAATAAAGCCCCATTATTTTGCACAAAGTTATTTATGTGTAGCAAAATATAGAGCTGGTATGCGATGCCTGCCTACAATGTACTCCAGGAGCTGCAAAGGCACTAGCTGGCACTTTGGGACCAGGATATTATCTATAGCCAGGCTCAGTAAATCATTTCTCCTAAGGTTTATTTTCTTCAAGCCTGCGCCTGCTTCCCTTTGTAGCATTACTGCCCTTCTCCCTTTCTACTCACTAGCAGCATTGCACTAGTTGTGCACAAACTTGTAAAGAAGTACATCCACCAGAGATGGATGTTTGTTTCCAAGTGTGGCATCATGCAGCTCATTTTTCAGGGGTCCTTTGCTCAGCAGCAGCAGCAGGGATCTGACTGGGAGCTGTGGGGTTATTCCCTAACATCCTCTTACTCTTTTTGTAAGCGAAAACCCTGGAAATTTAAAGTCTCAATATGTATGTCATGGGATCAGCAGAGAATAAATCTGCATCCTTACTTATTTATGACTTACATGACATATTTTCAATAACTGATTTATGTAGTGTCAAGCAATTGGGAGGGTAACGGCAGATGATATTGCATGGTCATAGTGATGTGGAAAGGGAAATAACCCCCCCCAGAAGGAGGTTTTGAGGGAGCTGTTTGATGAGGGGTGTGAGGTGATGTTCAGCTTTGCTTTGGCAGACGCCCTCAGTGTGCAAAGCTGTGTGGGGACTGCACGGTGGGAGGCAGGGGCTAACCCATCTTGCTCCTCGTCTTGTCTTCCAGCCCATCACTTCATCGCAGTGACAGCGTGCCAGGAGGCAGACTACAGCTGGATGATCCAGCACTACTGCCTGAAGCAGTTCCAGCTCAGCATGGAGGGCATTGGGCAACGGCTCTGGTGTGACTGGGATGAGACCATGGGGTAAGTAATGTCCCTCCTGTCCTGCCTACACCCGTCTTTGATTTTGGGGTGTAAGGTGGTCAGCGGTGGGTTTTAATTTTCAAATCCCTGCTCACTGCAGGGGGATTACAACTGGATGAGCTTTGAAGGTCCCTTCCAACCCAAACCAGTCTGTGATTCTCTGATTCCATCCTGTTTGCTTGTGGAGGGACCACAAGGTGGGCTTGGAGGGGAGAGCAGTGGACTTTCTACTTAGACTTCAGTGGGGCTTTTGGCACCGTCTGCCCTAAGATTCCCATGGACAAGCTGATGAAGTGTGGGCTGGATGAGCAGACAGCGAGGTGGGTTGGAAAATGGCTGAACAGAGCAGGCCCACAGGGAGGTGGTTGTTGGACAAAGTAATTGAAGGCCAGCAACCAGTGGTGTGTGTACCCAGGGGTCAATGCTACTCTGGGGAGTGGGTAATGCACCATTGAGTCATGCTGCTAGCCAGAGGGGTCTCAACAGGCTGGAGAAATGGGAACCTCACAAAGTTTAACACGGGGAAGTGCAAAGTCCTGCACCTGGGGAGGATCAGCCTCAGGCACCAGGACATGCTGGGGGGCTGTCCAGCTGGGAAGCAGTTCAGCAGAAAAGGCCTTGGAGGTCCTGGTGGGTGCCAGGTTGAACATGAGCCAAATGCGTGTCCTCGTAGCACAGAAGGTGGACGGTGTCCGGGGCTGCTTGAGGAGTGTTCCAAGCAGACCAAGGGAAGCGATCTTTCCCCTTGGCTCAGCCCTGGTGAGGCCACCCCTGGAGTGCTGGGTCCAGTCCTAGGCTCACCAGTGCAAGAGAGATGCGGACAGACTGGATAGAGTCCAGTAATGGACCACGAGGATGATGAAGGGTCTGGAGCATCTCTCCTGTGAGGAAAGGCTGAGGGAGCTGGGACTGTTCAGCTCCAGGGGATCTTATTAAGGTGCAAACTGAAGCACAGGAGATGCCCTCTGAACATCAGGAAATGTTTTTTCACTGTGAGGGTGACTGAGCACTGGCACATGTTGCCCAGTGAGGTTGAGGAGTCTCCGTCCTTGGAGATGTTTAAAAACCATCTGGACATGGTCATGAGCAACCAACTGTACGTGGCCTTGCTTGATCAGGGGCATTTGGAGAAGACAAGGAGGATCTCCAGATGTCCTGTCCAACCTCAGCCATTCTGTGATTAAATGGGCTTTCAAGGAGCCCACCCTAGCAGTGTCTGGAAATCAGGATGGTGGTCTCGCTCAGTACAGTTATATACATGTGAAGAAACTGCACACCCCAGTGATGGAGCTTCAACAGAAGACTGAAGATGCCTGCTCTATGCTGGGTATCAATGTGTTAATAAGGCAGTAGATTAGGATCCCTGTCATGGCTCCATTACATCTCCTGGTGACTCACTGCTCGATGGACATATTTTCTATGAGGTTTTCCTTTCTTTTTATTCAGTACTCAGGTTCCCCAGACAATCCCTAACGGCTTAACTCAGCTTGAAAACCCCACAACCCACTGAAATGCCTTCAGACCTCTCAGTGAGAAAATCCCAGCCCATCCCACTGGATCTGCTGGTTTGCCTGCTGCTTCCAGAAGTTGTGTGTTGATTTTTCTTAGGAACTACAAGGAGTAGCTGGCACAGCGTGTGGCCTGGCAGCCTTCTGCTGAGCCTCCTGTTTATGATCAGTGTCAGAGAATTAGCAGTGATTTATGATGTAGGAGAAGCAGAGGTGCGGTCTGCTTTTCTGGTGGAGCACTTGGTGGCAACCTTGGGGAGATAAGAGGGTGATAATGAAACCCTGCTTAGTGTAGCAGCATCAGGGAGAGCAAGGATGTTGCATATGTGGAACATGGTGCTCTGGGATGGCTTTTTTTGGTATGTCTCTGGTTTGGTTCTGGCTCTTTCCTATTTCTAATCAGCAGAGCAGAGTTTTTCAGTACCGCCATGGCATAAATCATTCTCCTGGTGAGATGGTTTTGATTGCAGTTGCAGAGACCAGCCAGGGGTGTCCATGTGTTGGGGTGAGGGCCTGAGAAGCCTGCTCTCCACTCTCAGCTTGCTTTCCATGTCGTGCAGCACAGTTGTGCTGCAGCCTTTCTCTGGGAAGGCAAAGCGGCTTGAGACACAAGTGGGGATCAAGGTCAGTTTGAAGCGGCGAGTGGATGTTGCTGCATGCCATGACTGTTTTGCACAAAAATCAGAGTTTTTGTAAGGTTTTGGTTGATTTCTTGCTTCATGGCCCTTTTTTCTATGCCAAATTAAAATATATATATGTGTGTGTATGAAAACATACACCTATAGATAGCTAGGTTTTAAAAAAGGACAGTTTGGGTTTTCCTTCCCCTTCATTGGTGACAAAATGGAGGGGAAGAAAAGAGATTGGAAAGACTGTAGGAGGTTTCCTGGTTCTGAGAAATCTCATTTGGTCCTCAGAAATGTCCCGGGCCCTGGGGGCTCCATGGGATCTGTCCCATGTCTCTCTTGACATCTTTGCAGGCAGCATCCAGATGTGGTCCAGATGCAGTGAATGGCAGGAGAAGGGGATAACCACCTCACTGGGGATGAACTCCCACCCATGGAGACATCCCATCAGAGCTGTCCCTGTGCAGGGGCTGAGTGTGTCCCACGGATAGGACTTTGCTTTTGATTCTGGTTTGGTCCTATCTGCAAGACTGGTGAGATGCAATCCATCTCCTCCTTCAGCAAAGCCATTTCACAGGAAGCAGAGGTGTATTAAAGAGCTTGTTCTTCATCTCCCATGTCCTGGTTTGTTGGTTGTTTTTTTTTTCCTAAATAATTTCCACTAAACTTGTTATCCTTGAGACACTTGGAGGAAATGCTGATAAACTTGCAGTGTGTAATTTGATTGTGTGAGTCCATTTGCTCACAGCAAAGCAAGGCTCAGGGTTAGTTAAGCAATGACATTTCTCTGATCTTCCTGTGCCCTCAGGTCACTGGGAAAATCAGGTAGAAATAGCTTAGCTACTGCTGCAAATAAGCTGCTCTGGAAGGACAGCAATTTTAGGTGGCCACCATGCTCAAGATCCTTCCTGAGTGTGCTTGGGACTCACCATCCCCTTTTAATCCTTCTGCAGAGGAACTTTGGACAAAGGTCTGTAGGGACAGGACAAGGGGAATGGCTCTAACCTGACAGAGGGGAGATTGAGATGAGCTCTTAGGCAGAAGTTCTTCCTTGTGAGGGTGCTGAGGCACTGGCACAGGGTGCCCAGAGAAGCTGTGGCTGCCCCATACCTGGCAGTGTTCAAGGGCAGGTTGGACACAGGGGCTTGGAGCAACCTGCTCTAGTGGAAGGTGTCCCTGCCTGTGGCAGGGGGTGGAACTGGATGAGCTTTAAGGTCCCTTCCAACCCAAACCATTCTGGGATTCTGTGATTTTAGGAGAAAAAGCACTGTTAGGAAATGTCCCAGCAGGAGTGGGTAGGGGGTGGCATAGGCTGGCTTGTCAACCCTCCAGCTTTAGGGGGAAAGATTGGGCTTCTTCTAGGCACAAAACAAAGAAATGGTACAGTCCTAGAGCCTGTTTCCTCTCCATATCTTCCCCTGACAAAGGAATTTTGATGCTTGAAACCTGTCTGAAACAAGAAAGAGATATGTTTGAAGGTTTTGCCTCTGCTAGGCCCCATACCATCAGCAGTATCTGGTTTTGGGCTGTGATTTCTCGTACACAGCATTTAGCAGGGAAATGCCTGTTAGTCCCATCATTTACTGCTCAATTGAGAATAACACGATGGGAACATCTGAATAAATGAGTTGTCTCAGCAGAGTTTGTAATTGTGGTTTATTGGTCCTATTTATAGGCTGCAGATTATCCTTCTCTCATCTTGCCCTCAGAGGTATTAACTGAGCTCTTTCATTACTGGAACTGCTGCTTTCAGGTGTAACAGAGGGGCCTGTCTGGACCAGGAGTGTTTGATGAGGTTGGGCTTGGACCATGTAGACAAGCACCAACTCCAAGGTTGGTCCATCATCAATGAGCTCTGCTGGCTTTCTTAGCTGTGCTTATTTGGGGAAAGTTGATGTTTTTTCATGTGCAAGTCTTACCATATAGCAAGGAAACTTGTGTGAGCTGTTGCACACTTCAGGAATGAGATGCTGTGAACACTGTCTCCTGGGAAGAGGGAAGGATTGCTGAGAGGTGTTTTCCCTTGGGTTCTCCAGTTTCTTTCCTTCTCTTCCTCCCCAAAGGACGAGTGATCTTCAGATGCTCCTGTGTGCTGGTGTCTGCTGGGTTGCTCACTGATCGAGTTGAGCTGGTCTCTCCAGCCCCTTTGTGGTGTTGTCCCATGGATCCCTGGCCCAAGGATGATTTAGACTGAGCATCCTGGAGTTTTGTTTTCCGGGGCTACCCTTTTATTCAAAAGCTAGGTGACTGTTTAGCTGGAGGTGTGCTGTGGGCTCCTCTGTTTTGTGGTGTTGGCCGAGTTGCTTTGATGAGGAGCTCAGCTGTGCATGACTGATTATCCTGAAGATCAACTTGCCTATTTTGATTGCAGGTCCAGATTCATCAGTATGGCAGTTGAGCTTTGAGGTTAGCTGTGGTCTCTCTCAGAACAGCTACTTTGGGGCTATTCAGCCTGGAGAAGAGAAGGCTGCATGGAGACCTCATAGCAGCCTTCAAGAATCTTAAGGGAGCCTACAAGGATGCTGGAGAGGGACTCTTCATCAGGGACTGTAGTGATAGGACAAAGGGTGATGGGTTAAAACTTAAACAGGGGAAGTCCAGCTTAGATGTAAGGAAATTCTGTACTATGAGGGTGGTGAGGCACTGGAATGGGTTGCCCAAGGAAGTGGTAAATCTTCCATCCCTGGCAGTGTTCAAGGCCTCGGGTGACATGGTCTAGTGTGAGGCGTCCCTGCCTGTGGCAGGGGATTGGAACTGAATGATTTTAAGTACCTTTCCAACACTAACCAGTCTATGGTTCTATGATTCTATGTGGCATTGAGACTGCAGGAGGGACTGGGCTGCCGGCTACTCACCCATGACCAGCAGGAGCTGATGACTTCTCAGTAGCTTTCCTGCAGTTTTTGTCCTGCTGCAAAAAAGGTTTTGTTTTCCTGAAAAATAGTTTTTGCCTTGCTGGCAGGCTGTGGCCAGAGGTTTTGCATGAAAGTAAGTGGGATGGGAAGATGCTCATTGCGCTGAGTGGTGCCGCAGCTGCAGGAGTCACTCCAGCCGAGCCAGGCGCCTTCATTCCAAATATATCCGCCCTGTGGCATGCCGAAAGATTTCAGGGGAATGCCTTCCCCTCATCCTGTGGGGAAGGAGCTGCCCAGTGTGAGCGTGCAGGCTGACAGCTGCAGCCAGCACCAGAAATGAGGGATGATGCTGCCAGGTCCTGGTACCCTGTCCCACTCCTACCCCTGGCTAGGGGCTGCTCTTACAGCTGTCACTACACTCGTTGTTCTTTACCCATTATCTATAGAAAACAGATTGACCCATTTTCTTATTATCTCATTATCTACTTATTTATCTTCAGGTTGCTATGTCCCTGATGGATATCCCTTTAGCATGTCTGCAAGCTTGCCCTGAAGCCTTGCAGAGGAAGAAATCAATTTCTTAATTTACAACACAAAAGGAAAGACTCGTGTTGTTTTGGGGTTTGTAAGGCTGCTTTTTTTCCTTCTGAAGCAAAGGGGTTTGGGGAGGATAGGAAAAATCTTGATACCTGTGGCAAAAGGGGAGAGCTGGTGATCCTGTGAACACCAACCAGTCTCTCCAGTGTAACACTGTTCACACCTAGGCACTGGCAAGGAATAAATGGCAGATCAAATTCCAGTCTGGGTTGCAGTGGTACAAAACCAGAGGCACTGCTTAGGATTTACAGCAGGGTAAGCATTCGGACCCCATCAAACTGTAAATCAGGCCTCGATTGCTTCCCACCAGCAGCCCAGACCAGTCTGCCTGTGGGCGTTCATCCCCACGTGGTCCCCGCACTGCCTGGCCTCCTGCTGCAGCATCCTTTCAATCCAAACCGTTTCCATGGCAACAAGGAAAACAGTTTTAATTGCAGTTCATGTTGGGTAGGAGAAACAATATTTAGAGCTAAGCAAAGCTGTGCCCCTCAGGGAGGGCTGCCTGTCTCCCTGCCCACTGACTGTGGATGGGTTGGGATAAGCTGCCCTGTTCCCAGTGCTTCCTACATCAGCAAACTAATCCCAATTTTTATTTTTGTTTCATTAATTAAAGCTGGTCTTTTCAGGCATTTTAATTTCAGATGTTGCTATTTAAGGCAAAGCCAGGGAGAGGAGAGGTGGAAGGTGATGTGGATGCAGACTGCTGCTCCTTTCCCTCTCTCCCCGTCTGGTGGTCTCTGGGGACATGCTGACCATCACTGAGGACACCCTGTACACTCAGCACTCCTCCAGCCATGGGTATCCTTCCATCTCAAAGCTCAGGCGAGACCCCGAGAGCTGCTGCTCCTTTGGGAGCTGTCGCTGGGCTGCAGGCAGTTTTTGGCACTGGGAAAGATCCTGGAGCAGCCCCAGCCTGGTTGGGAAAAGGGAGCATGACTTAGGGATGCTTCTCGAAGTTATCCTCCAGGTTGGGGGAAGCTGGATCAACCCAAGCGCTCTGCCCAGGATTTTTTCTGTACATTCCTTGCAAGTGGCAAGGGTTTCAAATACCTTCTCGTGGAGGCAGAGGCGCCCAATGGAAAGACATCCTGTAGTTCCAAATACCATCTTAACTAATTCCTCTGATGCCAGCCAAGTTTTGCAGCTTGGTTTTGGCTGTTATGAATAGCACATGGCACGTAAGCTTTGGCCTTCACCTCTTATACACAGACCCTGGCAAGCGGCATTAAAATCACATGCTTCCTTTTGCTCCCAGGCAGGTTGGGAATCTGGGGGCAATCATCCTTAGATGTTGCATTCTTAGATCCTCTGGCTGCTCCGCAGAGCTGTGGGGACATGCCATGGTGCAGGTCCATGGCCCGGTGGCTTCTCTATGGACTCTTTTATCCTGACTGAACTAGGCCATGGACATGCCATGGTGCAGGCTCCATCATGGAGCTTCTTGGAAGCCGAGCCAGGGATCTGCTCTGGGGTTAACCCCCAGCTTTCAGCCATAAGGCTGGTTTTGGAGGACAGCCAGCCCCTGGTCTGTGGGGCGAGGGAGGAAAGGATACAGGATGCACGTGTTTCTCTGCCCACCACTTCTGATTTGGGGTTGGTGGAATTCAGATCTCTTAGGTCCTCCCCCAAAAACGATCTAAGTGTTTTGCCAGGCATTGCAATGCCCAGATGACACTGACTTGGCTTTCTGTCCTCACCATCCTCTCCAGGGTGGTCCCAGCTGCACCCTGCTGGCAGTGCTTTTCTCCTCCTTGCAAGGGTATAATCTCTGGAGGGTTTGTTTTCGAAGGTCTGTGCCTTTTCTCAGCTGAAGATGGTGTTTTGGGAGATGGAGGCTTGCAAATGAGCTGTAGGGTTGTCTGAAAGCTAAAAGCTTGACTCTACCCTCCCTCCAAAGAGAGTTTTAAGTCTCTGCCTGAGGATTACATCTCTTTCTGGACCCCAGAAATAGAGTGATCATCCTTGCAGCTCCCAGAGTTTGGCTCAGCTTTGGTTGGCTGAGTGTGGTGATGGGACCTCACTCTCCTGGTCTGGGCTAGGGATGGCAAGGGGAAGCCATTCTGAGTAGGGAAACAACCCCTTGAAATGTTCCACCATTGGAACAGGCTGAATTTCCAGTGGGACCACGCTAGTGTGGTGCTAACATCATAATGTGGCTCTGCTTATGGGGAGAGGGAGAGAACCAGATGCCGCTTTGGAGACACACCGGGAGGAATGTTCCCTGTGGCTGTGGCAGGGAAGAGCATGCTCAGCCCCCGGCATCAACACTGCTGCTCTCCAGTGGGATCTTGATCCCTTCTGACAAGGCATTGCAAGCAGCAGCCTGGGCCTGACCAGTCTGGTATATCCATATCTCAGCAAATGGGATATATCTCCATATCCGTTTGGTACCCCTCTGAGGTAGCTGGTAATGTACCTGTAGGGAGAAGGTTCTCCATGCTATGTGTCTGGGTGCTCTGCATGCGAGGACAGAAGGTGGTCCAAGTCTTGCAGGACCATTTCCTGAACACCACGAGATGCAGCTGGCAAGGGATGGCCTGAGTGGTGGATGGCAGCCCATGTCGATGGATGGGAAAGGGTCTATGAGATAAAGTGGAAGAAATCAAAACACCCAGCTACGTTGCAGAGTTTGGCTTTGCTTTTAGTTGGCTGTTCATAAAACTACTATGGTCTTTGTGTGAGCAAAGGGCAGAAAATCTAAGAGTCACATACTGGTTTGGGTTGGAAGGGACCTTAAAGCTCATCCAGTTCCATCTCCCTGCCTATGAATGGTGGAAGCAGGTATTTATCTACACAGAAGCATGGGTTGAGCTGGGGAAGGGCTAAGCCAGCTGCTGTACAGCCCTTCAGTTTTAAAAATAGCTTCTCTGTTATCGCTCCCCCTCTGGTTCCTGACGATGCTTCGGCTCTCGAGATCTCCTAAGGATGCTGATGGATGGGAAATGGTAATCTGGCATATTGGGATGCTGAGCAGAAGCTGCTTTTAGTAGCTCCAGGTGCCCTATTAATTAAATGAGGGGGCTTCCTCCAGCACTGCAGTGTGCCAATGAGTACAGCAAAGACAACTGCTGCCAGCCCAAAAACCCTGCTGACGAGATGCAGAATCCGCAGCAAGTAGCTGGGAAGCTCCTTAGAAAGTATTTGTTCCCCCAGGTGGGTTTTTAATTGGCTGGCTGGGGTTTGGTTTGCTCTGCTTCTGCAGCATCAGGCCTAATTCGCATGGGGAAAGAAACAGTTCTATATACATTTTTATCCATAGCCTCAAAAAAAATGAATGTGCTGCCCGGTGAGAGGTGGGATGGGTTGTGGTCCTGTGGACCTGCAGAATAAGGCAGGGCAAAGAGATGAGCTTCAGAAGTGTATGCTCTTGGTTCAGATGCAACCCCCCTGTTTTTAGGCAATTCAGAGAGAATTTTAAGTAGATTTGATGTACTCCCTGTTGTCCCCTTTTGGCTGAACCGTCGCCCTGAAAGCAGAGCAGCTTGCCTGGCTGCTGGCAGCTCAGGATGGGTTTTCTGAAGGGCTTCCCCTAAAGGTGCCAGATGGTTATGTGGGTACAAGTGGTATTTTCTGATAGCACTAGTCTGGCCATGAAATTCTGCAAAAACGCACCAAACCAAACCAAACCAAGCAAAAAAAAAAAAAAAAAAATCCAAACCCTTTCTTCTAGTTATTTCTGTAAATATTAATTCTGTTTTCATTTACTTATAGAATCATAGAATGGTTTGGGTTGGAAGAGTCCTTAAAGCTTGTCTAGTTCCAGCCCCCTGCCATGGGCAGGGACACCTAGACCATGTTGCCCAAGGCTCTGCCCAATCTGGCCTTGAATGCTGCCAGGGATGGAGCATTTACTGCTTCTCTGGACATCCTGTGCCAGCACCTCACCACCCTCACAGTATAGAACTTCTTCCTTATGTCTAACCTGAACTTCCCCTGTTTAAGTTTAAACCCATCACCCCTTCTCCTATCGCTACAGTCCCTAATGAAGTGCCCCTCTCCAGCATCCCTGTAGCCCCCTTTCAGATACTGGAAGGCTGCTGGGAGGTCTCCAGGCAGCCTTCTCCTCAAGTAACAAAAACATCCATAACAGAAACTATTTAACATTTTATACGCTATGGGGGAGTGCTGTTGTCAGGGTGCTAGTCCCTGGTGCACCGCAGTGCCCTTGTCTGTGTTGCAGCACCTATGGGGAGCTGACGAACTGCACGGCGCTCATCGCAGAGAGGCTCGACTGCTACTGGCCCAACCGGCTGGTGGACGAGTTCTTCGTCGCCGTGCACAAACAGTACTTCAGGAACTGCTCCCCCTCCGGCCGGGCGCTGCACGACCCCCCCAACAGCATCCTCTGCCCCTTCATCCTGCTGCCCATCCTCATCACCTTGCTGATGACCGCACTGGTGGTATGGAGGAGCAAACGCAGTGAGGGCATTGTGTAGGGACACCCTGCCACTGGGACAGGGGAGGGACCACCTCTGGACTGTCTGGTTTTTGGAAGACCTTGGCAGAGGAGCATCAGTGGGGGGTACAAAGCCCTGGAGGCAGATTCAGCAGTGCCACAGCTCCTCCTTTGCACCACAAGTGTGCCACCTGCCTGGCATGAGGAGGTAATGACAAGGCCAATGGGTCTGGGTGCAATGAGACCACCACGGATTCCTCTTTGTCCTCGTTTTCTGTACCAGGAAAGGCATCTTTTCCCCCAGCATGAGGCCGGTGTCTGCACAGGCTGGGTTTTGCCTTGGAGATGGGGAGCTATGGTTGAAGGGTGGCAGTGGGAGGTGGTGGAGGTGGCCTTGGCAGTGCTAATGAGCAACGGGAATAAGGTGCTTTTCCTACCCAAATAAACACATGAATAAACCAGGTGCCTACCTGTGGTGTGAAGGCTCAGCGCTCACTCCCTCTGAGAGGACCTCCCCTCACTGCCCTAAAGCAGCCTCGGTGATCCTGGAGGCTCCCCCCTCACCTTCCCCTTCAGTAATATTGACCTCCACCTCATAGGCAGTCTTTGGGGTGGCTTTCCAGATTTCTTGTCACCCTTTTAGGTACTGGAAGCTACTCTAAGGTCGCTCCGGAGCCTTCTCCAGGAAGAGGCTTTCTGGAAGATAACCTGCCTACAATAAAAATAAATGAGAAAAAAAAGCCCCACCAAGCCCAAAACTAAAAACCAAAACCCAAATAAGAAAATAAAAAGCAGTAAATTGTTCCAAAGACTGCCTTGAAGTTACAGCAGCTGATTCCTGCACAAGCACTGTTGGCTCAGGAGCCTCCATCCACCAACTGGCCATGAGCAAAGGTGACACTTTGGGGACATACAGGATAGTTTTGCCTTCTACCATTGCAGGAGATCCGTAGGGGGCACAGGATGGAGACTAGATGGAAACATACCCCTGGCAGTGCTCAGCTTAGTGCTTTGGTGAGAGGCAGAAATCAAGGGTGGCTGGAAAGAGTATAAATTAGTTGCATCTATACAGATGTAATATATATATATATATATATATATAAATACATACAAAAACAGAAACCCCCCAAACAGCTTCTTGTGTTCAGAAAAGAATAATTCAGTTTATTTTCCCAGGCCATGAGCTGATGGGCTCTTCTAGGATGAGGGTGAGGTGTAACATTTTTGCCCATGTATTCTGGATGGGAAGAAAACGCTGCTCAGCCACCTTCTACAGTAGGTAGTAATATGCAAACTTCAATATTCTGCTCACCTGCTCCCAGTAAGCAAGAAAATGGTGCTGGGATTATACAGCAGGGCTGTACTGGGAGGGGGGGTACTGGCTTTGGTAGCAGCACCTCTGGCTCTGTGCTCACACAAGCTACTGTAACCCAAACCTGCTGCATTCCCTGACACAGCTCCTCCTGGCTCGAAGTAGCAGCACCCTGTGTTTGCTCTGCCATGGCTTCAAGGCATGAGTGACATGGATGACAGCCAAGAAACAGGGACTTTCACCATTTTGTTGAAGGATGGGAGGTGACAACAGTACCAGGGTGCCACTACAGCAAGGAACACTCACCTTTGCTACAGCAAACTGGTTCAGCGTTTTCAGCTTGAAAAGAATAAAAAACACCTGACTTGGCAAGCAAAATCCATACCTATTTTCCAATCTTTCTATTTTTGTGAGTGTTTTATCCCTTGCCTTCCCTGACATTACTATTCTGGCAGCAAAGATCTCTCACACAGTTGCCTGCTTAAAATAATATCCTGATCCATGTTTCATTTTAGCCACAGTGGCAACATAACCCAAAGATGAAGCTCACGATAAGGCTCTCCTCCTGCATGCCAATCCCTGCATTTAATTTATCTGCTTTCCTAGACCTCCAGTAACAGCTACAGGAGCCTGTGAAGCTGTAAGAGAAAAGGCACAGGGAGAACTTAAACCTTTAAGCAAGGCGGCACCGTGCTTAAAATCTGCAGCCCAGCTCTGCCATGTTAATGATGGATATAAATTTTGATTTCCTTCAGTGTCTGCAGAGGGACAGTAGGAAGGAATAAAGTGTAATAATGGGATAACAAACCATCAACACCCGAGCACTACACACATACACTTGCTCTGTATGAAACTGCACCAACATTTATTTCTATGGTTTTTCTATTTATAAAAGCTTGACTTGGTTCCATTGCACCTCCTCTGTGTAACCCCACAAGTGGATCCCCAGGGGAGCAGTGTGGAGCTCTGGCCCACACCAGGCAGCAACTCTTCACAGCGTTTACTCTGAAGTGATTCCTGAGGTACATGCTACTCTCTTGTGGAGGATCTCTGCTCGCACACATACTGTGTTTGATATACAGCTACTTACAGAGAAGGCGATTATAGCATCATATCCCTTCTAATCACCAAGAAAGCCAGGTGTGCAGGAATGTTTCAGAGGTGCAGTGCGCTCTTGTTCTCAGCTGCATTATTAGTCATTCCCTTTCAGTGCAGAATGTTGAAGAACACAATTTGGTATTCTCTAGATCATGGTGCTTGAATTTACCTTCATCAGATCAGTGTCTGATGCTCCCTCACCACATCCAGATTGGAAAGTCAAAGGCAGATTTCTTACCAAAAAAAAATAAAAATCCCCCTTTTGTTATATTTTCACAGAAATATATAATATATATTTTATATATGTACATAGTTTTACTAATACTACACATTTACTTAAGTTAGGGATTAGCCTGTATTTCTTGTAACTACTTCACACAATGAACAGGAACAAAAGAAAAATACTGTAGCCCATGCAGGAGCTGAAAATAACAGTGTGAGAATTTCAAAAGTGTAACAAAAACATCCTTAACATTAAATATCATCAAGAATTTCAATACCAGAAGTAGAATTTCATTTAGCACTAGCATTCTAGCAAGCTCTAAGCTTTAGTGAATGACTGGTAGAGAAAGCTTTTTTTGTTTCTTTTTTGTTTCTTTGTTTCTTTTTTGTTTCTTTGTTGTTTCTGCTCATCAAAGGCAAACAGGATTGTGATTTGGTTCACAAGAGACCATTTTATTGCCAACCTGAAGTGTTCTAAAAGCACGCCACCTCATCTGTTTGGTTGGGTTTTTATCTTCCCCCCTCCAAACTAGGCAAGAGTTAAAAAAAAGTGTAATTACAATTTCAATAGTGATTTCTTTTAACTTCTCAAGCATATCTCATCAACAGGATATACAGTACAGTTCAGAAGAGTAAACATTTTTAAAAGTAACCAAACAACTTTTTCACCCAACATACACAATTTCTTGCTGTATTTATGTTGAACTCTCCTTTTAACATGGGTAAGTTATTAAGTTAGTTTTCTTCTTCAGTACAACATGAACACAGGACTAGTACAGTCCAGGCTGATTTTGTTGTCATTGTTGAAGGTAAGGATAACTCCAGTGTGGAAGCCATGGTCCTGCCATTCATCTCCCTTCATCATCTCGCATAGCGCTTAATGTAATCTTCAACTTTATTCCGAAAGTCCTCCTAGAGGGAAGCAGAGTCAGAATTACCCCAAGCACATTGGAGAGGGACTCACATAGGGCTGCAGTAGTGGTGGATGCCCACATCAGCAAGCAATAGGGTCAAGTGTCCATCAATGTTTCCAATGTTGTGTATAAGAACTCGGGCAATTGCTCGAGTCCTTGGCAAGCAGATGTCTGGGGATTCCTTTGGGGATTGAACTGCACAAAGTTTGCCATCACCAGCTGTGTCTGGCAGGTCATCTGTGCTGGGAGGCCAGGTCCCAGCTAGTGGCACAGCAAAGATCTGGCTGTGATTTTAGAGAAGGAAGGGAAGCTTTCCTTACCAGATGAAAGAGACAGCTCTGTCGCAAGCAGTTATTCTGGCCTCCCTAGGTAACTACACAGCATCACAGCCAGCACATAACCAGCACAAAATTGATCACTGTCATTTATTACAGCCTGTACAGCATTAAAAACTCACCAAATCACTTGTTTTTGAAAGTGGTTCAGAGGGAACACTCTTACACCTGCAGCCCTCCACACAAAACCTATAAGAGTATCATAAAACCTCTGTATCCATAGAAAAGCACACATTTCTGGCAGTTTATTCAGCATGGAGATACCGAGCAGAGAAATTCTGACATACTTTCCTCATTTGATCCTTGTCCAAGTCAGGATGTCAGAGAGATGCTACATTCCTATAATGTTTGCCTCATGTGCTTACAGCCTGTTACTAAATGTGTCCAACACAAACACACTGAGTGGTCTGTGCTCCAGATACATGTTGGGGGTACACAGCAAAGTGCCTTTTGCTTGATATCCAGCTCCCAGTTTTGTGTGCTGCTAGAATATAAAGCAAGAAAACCTGGGAAATTTATGTACTTACGTTTGTTCAAAAATAAAACCCCCAAACCACAAAAACCCCAAGACGCACAAAGGATGAAGAGGTTCTGAATACAGTGTCCTGGTGTACTGGAGCTGCCTGGAGAGCAGGGGCCGCAGAAGCACTGAAACTCTATGCCCACCAAGCCAAGGCTCTGCTTTTACCTTGTTGCCATGACCTGAGGGTTCAGCAACGGACAATCCTGCTTTAAATGACATAACTTGACATCTTCAGGCTTGCCAATACATAAAATGATGCCCTTGGAACACACATGGACTGTTCTGGTACAGCCCACTCAGCAAAGAGCTAAATAGCATGAAATTTACAGAAAGAACAGCAGTTTGTGAGTTTAATGCCCTGTAAATTATGACTGTTGGCTGTCCAAGGAGTTGGAGGTCTTGTTTACTTCTTTGTTAACAGTAGATAAAGGTGAGCACTGCAATATTCACCGTGACTTAGTACTAATGCTAAGAAGTCCTGAAAAGCATGAAGTTTATTTTAGAGCTGTAGGAAAAGCTGTCTTCCCTTACAGGGGCATGCACCAAGAGCTGGGGTTGTTCAGCCTGGAGAAGAGAAGGCTCCAGTGAGACCTTAGAGCAGCTTCCAGTGCCTAAAGGGCCTGACAAGAAACCTGGAGAGGGGCTTCGACAAGGGCATGTAGGGACAGGACAAGGGGGGAATGGCTTTAAACTGACAGAGGGGGGATTGAGATTAGACATTAGGAAGAAACTCTTCACTATGAGGGTGGTGAGGTGCTGGCAGAGGGTGCCCAGAGAAGTTGTGGATGCCCAGAGTTCCAACCCCCTGCCACAGGCAGGGACACCTTCCACTAGAGCAGGTTGCTCCAAGCT